AGGCAAACCAATTTAAGGGAAGAACAGGTAGTGTGTAAAGCAAAAGCAGACCAGGGTGGACTCAAACCACCAAGTGCATGTGCTGGCTTGCCACGTTGGCAAAGCAAGATGACGCCTCCTCCAGTGGGCAGCTAGTCCAACTGCTTTTGCTGGAAGACCTTTAACAAAACCTTCTTCACTAAGAAGCATGTTTTCCGGCTCAACACAAGCTTGCCTCATCCTTTCGCCGGCGCAGTTTCCGGATGTGCCGGTCATCGCGGTGCCCACCACTTACGACCACGTGACAGAAGAAGAGCTGCAGGCGCGCTATGGGTGTCGCGCCAAAACTTGCCCAGATAGAAGCAAGTGGCGACCGTTTTTTTTTGGGGGGCAAGTACGGGGGCAGGTAGACCAAGTGCCTGGGTGGGCGCTTGGTTGAGACCTGCCAAACGTCGCTCGGCATCACAGGAGGCTGGCATGAATGTGTGCATTTATGCCAACCAACTGTGAGGGGCTCAGGGTCGAAGACGGTGTTCTCAGTGGATGCGGAGAGCGCCAACGATCTACATTGACTGGCGTGACTTAAGGAATGAGGGTGGGTGGCCCTTAAGGAATCTATGCTTAGCGAGTCATTGTGTTATTCCCCAAGAGTCGCCGGTGAGTCTCAAGACACCGTTCTTTCCAGCTCTTCTGCGACTTCGCTTTCGAACCATGTCGACAAAAATTTCCTCTCATGTGTGCATTGCAACAGCGGAGACCTCTTGGGAAGACCTCCCAGTTCGACCCCCTAGACGGAGGGGACACCCATGTCTCGGTTCGATCCTTTCGATCGCTTGAACTCTGCTTTAGTGGCGAAGCCCAGTTGGGGCCCACACCTATTCGGTCTACCCCATTCTGCTCGGCCTACCCAAAAAGGTAGATCGCACGGCGCGGGGGGCCACACCTGAATCCAGCAAGGGGGATCGGGGATGTGTTTTTATTATACGTCAGAAAGACAGTACCTGAATTGAGTACATCGAGAAGTGTACCAGAAAGTGCTCTGCATTCAACCTCCTTATGAAGTAAAATGGATCCTGTAGGTACAACCTGAGCTGAATGATGTTGACGCTACGTACTCGTACTGCACCCATGCATTCGTGCGCGCCTCTGCACTTTCGTTTGACCTTGTGTTTACTGCCACAACCCAGCGCCGCAACCTGCCACAACGGGACTCGCCACGACCTCCGAGGCTGCGAGCCTCCTACATGGCCATGTCCGGCAGCACAGGTGCTTGGCGTTGGTGTATAAAACCACCCACTTCGGGTGGCTCTTGGATGGAAAATACATGAAAATACATCTTCAGGGGCCAGGGGGGTCTATAAACCACCCTTTGAGTGGTGTTGGTGTATAAGCATGTTTGTCGTAAACTGACATCCCCCCCGACTGGGAACGCTTCGGGGGTGCATCATGGGGCGCATCCCGAGGCTGGAAACGGCCAAGAAGATCCTCGAAGCAGGACTGGCTGAGAATCCGGCATCGTTGAGGCTTGGACACGGACAACCATGTACAGTGGCTTAGTCAAGCAACCGATGAACTCTACAATCAGCCAGCTGGCACCTGCACTCCGGGAGATCAAACATCCCCCCCAAAGGCTCCTTGAGAGTCCAGTCGTGAGTCATTTGACCCTCATGGTCGTGGTGGATGACTACTAGGTCCATACTCCTCTCCTCCACAGGACGGGCCAAAGAAGTCGAGCAGCAGATTCTGCCGCCTGGGGCCCAGTCCGCATGCCGCGCCGCAAGGAACAGAGGCTGGAAAAGAAGGTTTCTGGATCTTTTGTTGCGCCAGGAGTTTCAAAGGGGTGCGATCCATGGAGGTTAGGGGTGCCCATTACCCACTCACTTAGGGACTGAAAGCACCCCCTCTTGTGACCCCTGGTGGTGAGTTACTTTCTTTTTTTCAAATGTGAAACCTGTGCAACTTCTCATCTTTTTACCAGGAGGGCCTATTCGGCCTTTTTTCCATGGTGTTGGGCCCGATGGCCGTCGTGATGAAAAGGGACGACGCGAAAATCCGGAAGAATGCGACAGACAGGGGTCGGGCCCAGCGTTGGGGTCCGGGAATTCTAGAAGAAGAAGAAGAAGAACCAGAAATCACAATAAGGGGTGCTTTTGAGTCCCTAAGTGAGTGGGTAATGGGCACCCCTAACCTCCATGGATCGCACCCGTAATTCATCTGAACTTTAGATCAGCGGATCAGCCAAGAGATTTTGTCCCGTCTTTTTTACGATCGGACACAGGACCCATCGGTGAAGCAACGAATGAAAGAAGACATGCTGTCGACATGCAACATGTGTAGGACAGACATGGCTGTGGGCTGGATGAAAACCCGGATTCTCTTTTAAATCAGGACCCATGAGAGGTTAAGTGACCTTATAGGACCCTACTGGGGTACCTATGGGATAGTCTATAGGGTCATTCAACCTCTGTTGGACATACATGTTGCATGTCCTGATTTCTTTTAGAGACATGATGATTTCGACATGTGTCGGATGATTTGAGATCCATGTTTCGGACGGGATTCCCGACACCAATTCTGGTGCCGGTCTCTCGTCGTCAAAACACCCCTGGGAGTTAACGGCTGAGTCACCCGGTCTCACTCGGATCGAGGTGACTGAGGCGGACGGCGGAGCGGCCGCGCGGACGCGGCGCTCAGGACGAAGCAGATGATTTCGCTCATCGACGACAACACGCAGAAGTGACGCGACACGCGACCGGGTCGGGCAGCGACCGCCGGCCGAGGAGGTGACACGGATGTGGCTGAACACGGCGGTGGTGGGGGAAGTACTTCATGACTTAGCCCAAGCTGGGGAGGGTAGGTCCGCTATGAAGTAGCCGGTGCATCTCCTCTGTGTCTCTATTCTCATGTACCAAAAAAGACATAGACGCACTACCAACTAAGAGACATCCTCTCGCCACTCCCGTGACGCCCGTTTTTGCCACATGTTTTCCACCGCAAGTTCACCGCTCCGACCTGCTCCGGCGACCCCGCTCGCCAACCCGGCCAAGCGAAAAAGGCGAAAAAAGGCGACAAAGGGGAGTCTCGTGGAGTCTGGCTGTATATTGACCTGGTTTTTGCGGATTTCTGGTGGATTTTTCTTTTCTTTTCCCGGCTTCCGGGGTTAATCCCCCCAGCCACCTGAGGAAGTTGTTTTAGTTTTCTTCCCCAGGCTTCCTGCGAGCCGCCGAATAGCCCTCCATCGCTGCGGCTTGGCTCTGACCGACCAAAACAGCCCCGGAGGAGGAGAGCATCCGCGTGCGTCTGCAGACCTACCACGATCAGATCGATGGCATCACGCCTTACTTCAAGGACCACCCGATGGCTGAGGGGTCCACGGCGGTTTCATGCCGTGGCCGTGGTTGGTTTATTTTTGGTGGATGTGGCTCCATATCCGAAGCCAAAGCAACATCAAAGCAACATCAAAGCAATCACGGCTGGTTGAGTTGCCCGCATTCGATCATATGTGCCGGCATGGAGTTGACCTGTTGCTCGTTTTGGTTTTGTCTTCCCTTTTTCCACGATCCGGTTTTCCCTCATGCCGAACGTGGGATCTGATGCACTAGGAGGGTGTTGTTTGCGGAACATCCGTTCAGCAAGCCCATCGGTGGTTTGAGAATCAGGCCCTACGAGAGGAGAACAAGTTTACCAAAAGTAGCTAGTTAATGTTTAATTCTTAGTTCTTTTCCTGATCATCTTCCTTCAGTTCCTGTCTTCCATTGTTTGGATGTTTACAGAAACATTTTGAAAAAAACAATGTTTCATTGAAATGATTAAAATTTGTACGCGCGCGCACTGTCACATAACAGACACCGACTTTTTTGCAGTGGAGGCAGGGACATGTGTGGTTAGCTGGGAAACGACAAGAGACTGTATACTGATTTCCCATTGAAAAACGATAAAGAGTTCACAAAAATGATAAGGCATGATAAGGCTATAAGTGGTTATACAAAAATTGTATAGTTTATTTTTTAAAAAATCTATCGCCGAACGGGGTGTTCTCGACACAACGGCAGGAGGTGCTCTACGAGGTGGATGGCACTGGAAAGCCGAACGAAGTCTTCGATCTCATTCAGGTCGCGGTGCTCCACGAACCGTCCCGCTCCACGAACCGTCCCGCGGCCGTGGGAGAAGCGCGTCGGGGTCGCGGTGGTTGGACGCCGGTGTTCCGGAACGGTGGAACCGCGTCCCGGTGGGGTGGAGGGCCTGCGGAAATCGGAGGATCCGGTGTGAACAACACATCTGGGCGATGTTGGAGGTCAAAAACGGATGGTAGACTGTTGGTTGATTCACAAAAGCTTCCCTTAATTTGGAGGGTAGAACATGGTAGAAGCTTTTTGATGTGGGTTGTGTTTTATCAACAGTCTACAGTACTTGCCCATGAATGACGCCGTATGACCCAGTCGAGCATGAGGAAGTTTGATGAAGTTTGAAGGGTACAGAACTTTGTAGGGTGTTTAGTGACTACTTGCCACACCTGGTAGCTGGTTTCTGCAAGTCCTCCCTGGGGGTGGGTCGCGCTGGCGCGCGAGACCTCCGCTGTTCACGGTGTCCCCAGCGATTGGGGTGAGAACTGCTCTCTGACGTCTGTCCGAACAGTCTGCCAGGCCTTTTTTGAGCCTTTGGGAAGGGCAAGATCTAGCAAGGGAATCGAAGATCCTCCAAAAAGGGCCGGGCCAATACAAGGAAATGAGGATTTTTAGAAAGCACCTAGGTTCTCCAAAAAGACCTAAAGAGGCTAATCACGCAGCACACATATCATTCTTGTTTCGTGGGCCCGGCCTTAACGTGTGCATAGAGCTCCAGAACAGCGACGTTATGACCTTCAAATCAGATTCCAAGTGAGACTGGCGCGGCCCCAAACTGGCTACTCAGCATGCAACCAACTCCACCCAACATGGCCACTCCAGGCACCACTGCACAACATGTGTGCTCTATTGGATCACTGTCCCAGGAGTCACATATGGAGGGCCAGGGTGGTTTTGAGCCCCTAAGTAAGTGGATGTGACAAGGGCACCCCTATCCTCCAATGGGCACCCCGACATGTGACTCCTGCTTAATGTTGATGGTCAATTGGACACCTCCTCCGGTCAAGTGCGGTCGGTGATGCCGACATCCTCCGGGACCACCATGTCGCGGGATTGGAGCCGTTGTGTGAGACAAGCCGTCTGGGGGGCAACGCATCTACCTGCCTCCAACGACATGGAAGTGGACAATCCCCTGTTTATATTCGGAAAGCATCCAACAAACATGGAAGTGGATTCAGGGAGAAAATACAACGATGTTGATGTTTTTTTTAAACTTTTTGGTCTAGTTCGCCACACATCATCGCCACACATCGCCACCTCAATTTTCCACGGCCTGCCACGGCGTGCCACGCCAGGAGGACTTGGACAAGCTTTAGGCCACCGCTGTTCTGGGCACCGGCGGTTTTGCGGAGGAGACAGTGGAGTCGTCGAGAAGGGTGCTGGCGCTGCAGGACCCTTTCTTCACAAAGATGGCACTGCAGCAACAGTGGTAGACACCTGAAGTTTGAGTTTTTTTTCCAATGTTTTTGCAGGTTTTTCAAAGGGTGGTTGATCAGAACCAAAAGGCACCGCGTTGACTTCAGGCACAAACAAAGACCTCAAAATTGGAGGCAGACAGAGGGTATTATAGCCCTTATGCCCTTCATTTCTTTTCACAGCCCGCTTGTGACCCAAACTGTTACACAAAAAACAGATACTGATACTCACCATTTGCTTCCCGAAGTTCAGACACTTCAAGTTCACCTCGTCCGATTCACCGTTCCGACGGCGAAGTCTGAAATCATTCGTCGTTCCACCGCGAGAGTCGGCGCCAGGCGCGGGATGGGACGCCGTGAGAGTCGGCGGACGACTCGCGGGTCCCTCCCCATGCACCAGCTGCATTGAGCCTCTTCTGTCAGCTGGGTTGTTGTTTGCTGGGGATGGAAGAAAGAGACAGCAACACTATAGGAAAACGGTGTGGCAGAAGTCTCTAGATTTGGATCATTTCATCCTATTTCATCCACCAATGCGTCCCCCCTTGGACTTCTGTCGATTGGAGTGACACAATACGCGCTCATGTCAACGTGGGGGGGTGCATGATTTGTTTTAGGCTTCTTGACCCTGTCACGCCGCGGCCAAGAACTGTGCACAAGGAAAAGCACACAAAACTGTATAGTTGCTCAAGATATCAGAAGCTTAGTCCAGCAGTCACATGTTGGGGTGAACGAACGTAGGAAGTCGGAACGAAGCTCGCCAAAGGCAGGGAGCCAACTGCATGTGACTCTTGGAAGCTGAATGGCGACTCTTGGACTCAGGGTTTGCGGTTGGTTTTGCTGCACGTCCGTGTTGGGATTCGTCCAAGAATCCGGTGATGAAGATGTGAAGAGCCCCAAGAGCAGCGACCACGGTCGGCACGCAACGTGGGTGGTATGCGGAAAGATGTGACCTGGACGCTGGCTTTGACTCAGTATGTTGACGTGAAGAAATCGGAGCTGCTGCACTGCTAGTAGATGCAGCAGCGCTGAATTCTGTATGTGTTTGAGACATCTTTGTGTTGATAGAGCACAACTGCCCCGCTGAAGGATGTCAGGATGTCACCAGTTTGGCTCCGAAGATTAGCTAAGTTTATTCGACATATATAGTTCTTCAGTTGTTCCTTTTCACCATTTCTAACCAAAAGACAGCAGACAGTTCTAGAGGATAGAATGGCAGCGCGGAGTTTGTGTGTCTTCAGTTCCTGGTTGATGGTGGCTGTTGGACACTTATTGGGAGGAAGCCATCCCTAGTGTACCTTGGTTGAAAGGAACGAAAATGGCGTTCACAGCATCCTTTGCTCTCAAAACTGAAGAAATGTGGACCTACAGGGTTTAGCTGGAGAAGGAGACGCTGTAGATGTTTGTTTTTTGTTGAAATGGTATGACTAGATGGCACTTCTCCCCCAATTCAAGTCATTTGTGGGACAAAAAGCACCAAAAAGCAAAGTATTTTTCCACATAATTTCACACCAAACAGAGTGAATGGTGTGGATTCCTCATTAAATTATGAGCGGCCAAGTAACAGATGGCAGGCTGTGGGTCATGACACCAGGATACCGGTTGACCTACCTGGAGGGTCGTAAGCTACTGGAGTCCGTGGACGGGTTAGGCTCCAGGTGGGTCACGACCCATCCCCATCCCAGGTGGGAACATCACTATGGTGGGAACATCCCTATTTTGCTGTTCATCATCAGTTTGCATTCATTCGCTTGCGGCTGTGACAGTGGTGAAAGGTGTTGTGAAAAGAAAGGCACTTTTCTTCGCAGGTGCCGAAGGGTCCTCTGCGGGAATTTTCGGTTTTCCATGCTGGGCCAGGGCCGAGTCTGGGGAGGATTTGGAGGATGGATTTTTTCAAACTTGCCATTGGCAGTGCAATGCAGATACGTACTCCTGCGGGATGACGATTTTATCTACCAAGATCTACCAGAAACTTGCCCATCACCGCAGGAGTCCCCTGCAATGACTACCACGGGGGTCAACTCCTATGACTCACATAACACTCTTCCTGGTTAGGGCGATCGTTCTTATCCCTCTGGGTGACTCCCCCTTTGGGTTCTCATATATATTCTTCAAATTCACATGTTCCTTACCAGCCGAATCCAACATGTGCAGAATGTGGACTCGTCTTGACCGTCCAAGCCAAGCTCCCCCCAAAAAACTAGTTCTCCTCGCCCTCCCTGGCCTTGACCCCAGAGCTGCGCGCGTGCGGCGAGCAGACGCTCCGTGGCGGGATGGCGCGGTGCGGTGTGCACCGACCGAGAAAAAGACGCTGGGCGCCGCAGTGAAGCCGTGTCCGAGACTTGTGAAGCGACGAAGCGAAGGTCTCGTTGAGGGTGGTTTTTGGGGATGTTTTGGGTAGTGGAGGTCGGATGCGTTTTCAGATGCTTTCAGCCATCATGCGTTGAAAAAAAAAAAGCTGACAGATGCCAATTGCATTCCACTGACACAAGTCGTGGTGTTTTCAATTTGGACGATTTTGTGTATTTGCAGATGGATTAAACCTCAAGTCTAGTCTATCAGTCTATTCATGAGATTGAGTTCCAACTATATACTGTAGCATGGCTATATCAAAATTCTTTATTGCAATTCTCAGACTGGATGCCTCAGACTGGGTCTCACGGCAAGACTGGACCCTGGCGCCTGAGCACCGCACCTGATGGTTCCCACGGTCACCAGGGTTTTCAAGACCAAACACCATGAGATCTCAGCTGACATAGCTCGCCCAGGGAGCTGACACAAGCGAAACAAGGGTTTTTGTGGGCTGACATCATTCACCAGACAACTTCCCCCTTCTTTCCATGAAACAGTATCTTCCGTTTCCAAGCTTAGTTCTCAGGGAAACGAGTGAATGAGGGAATGAACTCCCCTAGCCCTTATTCCTTGCAAGGAATGCGCGCGTTGCACCAGAAAAACACACGCAAAAGCACTTGTCCAAACCTGCTTGTCCAAACCTCAGGTCCATCTCCTCGGGTCTTAAACCTCAGCTCCTACCACCACACAACACCCGCCTGTGCCACCTGTCTGCCAGCCGACTACGTGAAGTGGGAGCAGCTCCCCGCGGGCGTGTCCACCATGACGATGGCCCCTCGCCACAGCTTCGACCGCTGTCGGGGTCCGGACGTCCTCCCAGAGCGTCGCGTCGCGCGTCGCGACCGGCGATGGGACCCCGGGCAGGGTCCGTGAGGGTCCACCGTGGGGGCCCTTTCCATGAGTGACTGGGAGAAGGAGGTGTTCGGATGTCCGGATGTTTCCGTCACCGGCGTCCCCAAGGCTTGGTCCACTTGACACGTCCCAACTGGCTGGGACGGCAAAGATATGTAAGAAAACATGCAAAAACCACCCCAAAGCCACCAGTCAGGGCCGCCACCATGGATCCTTTGGGCAACATTCTGGGCACAATTCCAAGAAGTAAACAGGTGGACAGGTGGTGAAAATGACCGCACCAGTCGAAAGTCAAGCAGATGGGCGGCGATTTGAGCACCGGTCGAAAGTGGTTTTGGTCGTAGAAGGTTCATCTGGCTTTGTGTCGTTGACTCGAAAATGACCGCATTCACTGTTCTGAGTGGCTGCTACTACTAGCCGATCAGATCAGGAGGGAGTGATTGAGGGTATCCATATTCCCCGAAAAGGAGCTACAGGGAGTTCTCCAATTCCTTGCTAGACTAAGAACAGTGATACCGTCAACCTTCATCCACAGTCCAACATCGACCACTGAGGATCAACCACCGGCCAGTCGACACTTGGCCTACAGGCAAGGACGCGAAGGACCCAAACCTGTCCATCAAAAGCAGACTGAAACGGAAGAGGGGGCTGAGTCGTCGCCCTTGAGTCGTCGCGGCATGACCCACTCGTCACTCATCACTCCGATGCCACTTGGAATTTTTTGGGGGCTCAAGTCTGGTGTTCCAGACCCTTCCATCCATTGAAGGGACCGACCAGTCGCCACGCTGGCAGTCGCTACATGGGCCATGCCTTGCCGTGGCGGGGCAAGGCGGAAGATGGGATGGCCAGAGGACCCAGAGGAAGGAAGATGGGGGCTTTTGGGTGGCGCGTTGCGCGGAAAACGAGTTGAGATTGATGATGATTGGGTGTTGAAACATCTATTGTGCACGCTTTCTGCTGATTGGAAGCGTTCTGATTGAACCTTTCGCCACCTGAAACTGCTCCAAAGAGTCAGTGCCCAGACGCTCCGTGAACGACGGCCCCAAGGTGGTCCTTGTTGAAACGTCGTGATTGGGTTCTCTTCCACCCCTGACCCGTTCGGATTTCGGGTCCCATCCTTCACAGGTTTGTCTGGGTGTATGAGAATGACCAACATTGCTATCAACATCTACCAGGAGTCACATGGAGGGCCTGGGTGGTGTGGTGTGGCTCGTCCCATCCAGGGGCTCTGGATGTTCTGAGCAACCCGACTTCATCGCACCCCGTTTTCCACGTGACTGCTGGTATCAAATTCAATCAACATCAACATCTATCAACATTTTGGAGTATTGGAGCCGTACTTTTTGAAGATCGAATTGAACCCTTGGCAAGTTAGCCATGGACAAGATTCAATAAAATGCGTAGCCCGATTGTTTTGGAACCATGATTCCCCAAGAGATTGCTGCTTTGAGTGAGTCCAGCGGTTCATTCACACAGGCATCCCCTGCGCTCCTGTGCCGCGATGTTTCATTTTCTTTTTCTTTTTTCAAATACCAATCAAGAACCCCCCAAAAGAAACCAACTCAATTGGAATCCGACAACAACACATCCACTTGGTTCTTCCCGCTTGGACTCCGCTTTTTATCGGACGCGGAGCCGAGGTCTTGCAGGGCGGCTCCTTTGGCAAGGCCGGGTGCACTGGGTTTGATGGGAAGCAACGAGGTCGGTGTTTTATTTTTTCAGCACCAGGGGTCACTCATGGAAAGGCCTGGGTGGGGCCTGGCTCGTCCCTTCCAGTTAGTGGAACATATGCACCATGATGCACCCCTATCCTTCTGGCACTTAAATTTATGACTTAGGAATCAGGATAATCAGGCTATATATAGACATATATATATACTAACATATATAGACTAGCATGCGGCTGAAGAAGTGCAAAAAATACATATTTTTTCACCATGTCAGCTAGGTCCCCGTGTGTTTAGGAGATCACCGAACCATGCACCTCTCTCTCTCTCTCTCGCGGGCCCGATCGCGCGTCCCCGATCGTTGGACCACCTCGAATCGCCAGATGCTGCGAAGTAACCTGTGCAACAGCAAGGAGAACAAGCTGAAATCAGTACCCGCCCCCCCCGCCTGCGGCTGCTTTTTATGGTGGCCTTTTCTTTTGGGGTCTGGGAGGGGGTTCCTGCAGACTTAGATGACTCAGATCAGTATAAGGCCGAGAGGGGACTTCTTGGTGTGACCGTGTGACCTGAGAGCGGGACCTTTTCGACCGATGGTCACCGGTGTGGAACGGAACGTCTAACTCGACCGAGGCAGAACAACCGATTTCGGGTCACCTGATTTCGGGTGAACAAGGCCTTCGGTGTCTGTTTTCTCCGGAAGGCGGTCCCTCGTTTCAACTGATAAGATGGTTGTGGGGGAGTCCACGAAGTAAAAGATGGTTGAGGTCCTTTTCAGTCCAAAGATCACTATCCCCCGCTTTTGGTTCCCTAAAATGCTACCTGCTGCGTTATTGGCTGTGACTATGGGGTGTGGATAACCAGCGATGTGCGGTCAGAATCTATATATTTGGACCTGAAAACCTCCAACAGCCAGTCTGTAGTCACTGGAACACCACTACAAGTTGAGCTTAGCCAGCTGGTTGTAACATGTCGTAACACATGCGATCATTTGGGGAGGGGAGTCATTTTTGGGATACAGGTTGTGGGCATTGATGTGGCAGTTCGTTCAAAGACCACGATGGAGCACCTGACCACAAGTCCCAGAGACCTCCGAGAACACCGCCGACGGGAAGTTCTTCCGACCGCCGACCGATTGCTCTAGCCAAAAAGGCTCAGAAGTGTCACGACGAAAGCATGACACACAGCCAAGAAAGGGCCAAAGATGTCTAGTGAAGGTGCGAAAAGTCAACTTTGGCGAGTCTTTTGAGGCCAGTTCTGCACATTCTCTACGCAATTCTACGCATATCATATCATCACCCTAGGGATCCAAGTACCTCCTCAGAAGGTACTTGGACCCTGAAAACCCACATAAGAGTGTCTCCAATCACCTAGGGTCAGTCTACTTCACTCTAATCCTACACATCGGGTGTTCCATTACAGTCGGTAGGACATACCCAAACTCTCCACATCTCAGTGAATCCAGTTCTATGGAGCTTTTCAGATGACCAACAGAGATGATGGACGCTCTGGCAAGCTCATTGACACCCACGCGCTCCAACCTCTTCGCGCTGACGGGGTCCGCGCGGAAAGCCGCGCGGAAAGCCGCGCCGCGGATGAAAGTGCCGATTCGCTGGCCGAACCCGGAGGATGAACGGAAGGAGGCGCGGCCGGGACCGGAGGGCGCGGCCGGGCGCGGCCGGGCGCGGGACCTCGGCTTGCGCGCTCCGAAACGACCATCCAGTGTAGGTCAGATGGGAGATGCCAGTGTAGGAGAGTCCGGGTGTCCCCCAGATGGGATGGTCGACGTGATTTCAAGAGCAATCTCGTCTTATTGATGCCAAAAATTCCAAGCAATCATACCTACGTAATACCAACGAGCACCAAGTAATCCTCTCTCTGACTTTCTCACGTCCAGGAGAAGCTCCAAGCCCTTCAGGACATCGTGGGGACATATTTCTGTTTAGATCCATCAGCAGTTCGTTTTTCAGGACATACAAAACCGCCATCACATATCATTACAGTATATTTCTTAAGCAGTCGTTGTTTGCCACCCAAAGCACTTCCGAATTTTCACGATGTTGTACAAGTGTTCGCAGCCGCTGTTCATAGCAATCCTTGACAAAACCGTTGGCTGATCGGAGTGTTCCTTCGGTCCGATGCCGAAACAGCCGGTCGACCTGGCCGGTGATCGTTTGGATGTGAAACTCGTGGAAACGGTCACCGAAGAACATATCTTGGAAAACAGGAGGGTGAGGGTCCTGCATCAGACTAAACATCTGGAACACATCCGACCTACCTCGGGCGCTTCGCTCGCTCCAACCAACCGCCCTCCCAAAACGGCGTGACCCGCGGGACGCGGGAGGTGACCGCTTCGTCCGGTAGCGGGAGGACTTGGGCTTCGAGGTCTTTCAGGGTGAGGTGGTGTGGAGGCTCAGACCAGAGAAGAGGAGAGTTTGAGAGTGGCCCAAGTGGTGAAACGAACGTGTGTTTCGTGGAGAGTTCGAGGGCTTTACGTACCGTTCCATGCTTGTCTTTCGGCAATACTCCAGTGACTGTCACATGGATCTGTGCTGTGAAATCTGCAGTCGCTGCGGGTTGATCTGTGCATGGCGTCCCTCAGCGAACAGCAGCCTGAGGGCCTTTCCACGGTTGATTTGAGGGGAGACTCCCAGGCGAATAAGATATGACATGGTGTATGGATGGACCCTTGGGGAGGAAAATAGATCCGCCTACCAATAGATCCCTTAGGAGGGTCTCTTTATCTTCACATCCTCACATCCATACGTACGGTACCTGGGTGTAGAAGAACGTCGCGCGGTCGCGTGGGTCGCGTGGGTCGCGGATCGGATCGGGATCCCGCCATGTTGACCTTCCCACAAGCAAGTACTATAGGCTGCATCGCTTGGACCAGTTGTAGGTGGGTGGTGTGGTTCCAGGCAACATATGATGTGCAACATGTATCCTGCATATCTATACACTACGAAAAATCAAGGTGTCGTGGCCTCCAGACGTGATGAGCAAACAGTTCACCCACACGGGTGAGGCTTCTGGCTCAAGCGAGCCAAAATTTTGGCTCGACAGACCTCCTCTCACAAAGACCTGTTGCCGACGGCGATGCCCTGCCCCGACCTCAGCGCTATTTTGTTTCGTTTTAACATGCACATCTTCCATATAGTCAGTCAGATCAGTCAGTATAGTCACTCAGTACTGTGTCATTTCTTCGCTCTTGAGCTTTGTGACGAACCAAGCTTAGGGATTGAACACTGGATCGCTCGAAAACCAACGGAGAACGGTGAGAAACCCTGGTCGACCCCTCCAAACCACGAAAGATGGATCCTTCCAGTTCTGGTTGCCCCAAACATCGTGAGTAGCGGACCTCTGGGTATCGATGGTTTTTGCTGAGTCAGACATCCATCGCGCAACACTTCTCCACCTACGCTGTTCCCAGACATTTCTTCAATAGCCACGGCCTCCACCCTACTAGCGATGGCCTCCGAAAAAAAGGAACACCACACGTTGCCCTTTCCCTCGCCCGTGCCCTTTCTGGGGTCACGGTGGGTCACGGTACAGTACGCGGTACTTTTGGGGTCTCCGAACTCCTCTGAAAGGCAGTGAGCGCGCGCTCCGCCTTCCAAGGAAGCCGGCGATGGTCTACCTCAGCGACTTTCAAGATTTCGAGACCGCTGCGCAAGAGCTCTTCAAGCAGCAGCCCCTGAGGCCTGGGGGCTCTGGCAGCTGCATCGGAAGAGCACGCCTCCCAGTGGCTATGTATGCCTTCAACAAAGAAGACACCAGGAACCCATAGGAACCCAGAGTTCCGTAGGATCGCTGTATGCCTGGTACACTCACTTGTCACTTGTTGGTCAGAAGCACATGAGTTGAATGCCTATTTGTACAATTTATCATATATGATATACACATGCCCTTAAATGAACTTTATGTGAATGAATCAGATGGGGCATTGAAGCTGAATGCAGCAAGTCTGCTGGATCAGTTGGATGCCCATTTCTGGGCAGACCATCCCAGAAAACGCACGAAGTGGCCTTGGAAGGTTGGCTCCAAATCACAGCAGATGGAAGCCCGAAGTCACAGTCTTCCAGGTTCTTCCGAAGTCGCAGTCCTCAGGTCAACCCCGTCATTCTTTTTAAGATTCTTTGCTCATGCAGCCCTACTGATCCAGACCACCATTTGTACATCGGGCCTGCAGTTGCATGCACACACCCTGGGTAGGACGCGATATTTGGTGAAGTATCGGCACAAGGAGGGAAAGGCGTGATGCGTTCAGCGGCGGAGCGTGACCGAATGATGATGAATTTCCCGATCTTTCAACTGCAATGTTTTTTGTTGTTGTGGCGGGTGCACACCATTGTACCTACATAAAACCTCTTTAAATTCTTGCGACCAAAATGTCCAGGGCCCAGATTTCCGCTGTCAGTTGGAGCCGTGCCAAATCATTTGGTGCAACTGACTCCTTTCCAAAAGAAGGACTGTCATGAGTTAGTACATGGACTACTCTTTTTGATTCATCCGCGGATGGAGAAGATCTGAAGCAGTTGGTCACCGACTTCCATGGCTTCCCACACAGCTTCACCTCAAGCTCCATATATAGCGCACGCCCTTGGTCACGCTCGACCGGAGCCAGTGGTCATCACCTTGGAAGTCGGTCCGGACCGACCCGTCGGTGTCCGGAACTCCGACGTCGATGTCGCGAAGGACGACCTGGAGGAGGACTGAGGACCAATGACCGAGTATTTGGACTGGATGACCGACCAATGACCACATCCGAGGATTAGACTGGATGTATTTGGAGCTCCTTTTTTTGTCAGGTGGTGCTCAAAGTCACCAATGACCGAGTTTGTGCCGGCCCCAATTACTGTGCGGCCAAACGCACGAAGAAGCGCGCGAGCGCACGGAGAGCGGACGGGGAGAAACTTCTTCTCCTTTAGGCGCTCTGAAGAGTCCATCTTCCTACACGAGATTCTTCACCAGGCCTATGGATCCACGTAGCTTCTGAGGTACGGTGATTGGAGACTACTTATGCGGGCGTTTTTAAGTCCCAGTCGTACCTTCTAAGAAGGTTTGTGCATCCTATATGGGCAACCATGCACCAATATAGTTTTTTTTCATGTCAATGTGGGAACAACGACGAAAGGGTCTTTTTTTGCCCGCCCTCCAGAAAGGAAACAGGATCCGGAACACCACAATTTTCTCAGTAAAGAACCTCAGTCAGTTTGAGGCAATGCTGTTGACTTCTTTTACTAGATATGGGATCCACCAAGTCCACTAGTTCAATGGGAGCATTTTCCCAAGGAGCAAGGGATGTTCATGTAAGCGTTCTAAGGTGGCTAGCCGCTAGCCCCTGCAGTTGTGATTCATGAATCAGAACGACCTACTGAAGGGACTATAGGCCAGCTCTACAATATCATTTTAACACCGTCTTGGGGATTGAACC